ACATTGGCCGCCTCCTGGAAAGATATCTCACTCCCAGCCTCTCTAGCCATCTGAAGACGAATCGGCTGAATAAGTCCATCAATGAACCGTCTCACTCTCTCCCTCTCAGTGGGAAGTATAATAAGAGCATGGCGAGCTAAATCAATAAATCTGGTCTCGTACTAGGTGACAGTCATGGATCCCTGCTGGAGGCGCTCGAACTGCCTCCGATAGGCCTCTCGCTGTGTGATAGGGAGAAACTTCTCCAGAAATAGCTGCGTGAACTGCTCCCAGGTCAAGGTTGGCGATCCTGCTGGTCTAGCTAAGCAATAATCCCTCTACCAAGTCTTGGCGGATCCAGACAAGCGAAATGTGGCAAAATCAACCCCGTTGGTCTCAACTATCCCCATATTCCGAAGAACCTCGTGACAGCTGTCTAGATAATCCTGGGGATCCTCAGTAGATGCACCGCTGAAAGTAGTAGTGAAGAGCTTGGTGAACCTGTCCAATCTCCACAAAGCATCGGCAGACATAGCTGCACCATCGCCGGTCTGAGCTACCACACCCAGCTGAACTGCTCCAACTGGCTGAGCTGCTGGAGTCTGAAACTGGGGAGCTACCTGCTCCGGAGTGCGAGTAGCAGGAGTCTGGGCTCCTCCTCCAGCCTGAGAGACGGCTGGTGCTACAGGAAGTAAACCTGCCCTGGTGACACTCTCCATGAGGCCCACTAGACGGAAGAGCATCCTGAAGAACTGGGATGGCAATAAACCCCTCTGGGACCTGAGCTGGGCCCACCGGAACTGCTGGAGCTGGAACCTCGTCATCAAAGTCAACCTGAGGCTCCACTGCTGGTGCTGCTGCTCTGGGCTGGGCTCTGCCCCTGCCTCGGCCTCGCCCTCTGCCCTTCGTGGGAGTCGCTGCTGGGGGCTCGGGCTACTGATCGGAACAAAGTAGGAATTCGATTAGTATTGAGAAACCAAACCGCACGATAAGGAAGGACAAATGTGAAGTTTTTCCTAACTCGGTAGCCTCTGGGGATAAATACAGACGTCTCCTCACCGATCCCTCAGACTCTACTAAGCTTGTCCGTGCATTGTGAGACCTATGTAACCTAGAGTTCTGATACCAACTTGTCACGACCCGGATTTCCCACCCTCGGGAGTCGTGATGGCGCCTACTCGTAGAAGCTAGGCAAGCCATGAAATTAGAAATCTTAACCCTTTTCATTTTTAATACCTTTACTCACTGATAATAACAGGTGATAAACAGAGAAATAATAGCGGAAGAAGAAAATTTAAGCGGAAGACTTAGACAAATATAATACCAAATCGTTACTAATAGCCAACATATGTCTCTACCCAGAAACTGGTGCCACACCATTCACGGACTGTCTATGATTACTACATACAAAATGTATGAAAGAAAGAAACTCAGTCTGTCTCGGATACAAATGATAACAGAACATAATAGTGAATAGAAGAGACGCCGGGCCTGCGGACGCCTGCAGGACTACCTCGAGATCTTTGTGGACTGAAGGCTGGCTCCCAAACTACTACTGCTGCCCCAGTACTGCTCCGGTATCTGCACAGAGTGCAGAGTGTAGCATCAGCACAACCGATCCCATGTGCTGGTAAGTGCTTGGCCTAACCCCGGCGAGGAAGTGACGAGGCTAAGACCAGACTCCAGATAAACCTGTGCAGTTATATATATATATATATACAGCAGAAAATAAACTAGAACAAATAATTTAAAGCTGGGAAAGGGGAAACAAGCTTCGTGGACTAACAGATAAAACATAATCTCAAGAGAATTATCAATAAACCAAAAATTCAATTTCTATCAAGGATAAGGAAAACAAAGACAATTTACACTTTCGGTTCACATCTCGTTGCAGGCGTGCAACCCGATCCCATTTCTCATATCCTTGTGGTAGGCGTACCACCCGATCCCATTTCATTATATCTCGTGGTAGGCGTACCACGCGATCTCATTTCATCATATCTCGTGGTAAGCGTACCACCCGATCCCATTTCATCATATCTCGTGGTAGGCGTACCACCTGATCCCATTTACAAGCCAACACAAAATTATAAGGAATCCCGGCAAGGGAACAAAGCAATATAATAACTTCCCGGCAAGGGAACAACAATATTTAAGACAAACATACCGGCAAGGGAGAATCAACTACAATCACTAATCTTAAAGTATTTAGGCAAGCTAAGCATATCATGAACTAATTATGTCATATTGAGGTAACAACCTCGGTCCCACTCTCTATAGAAATAAATTATTTTTACTTGTATTCAATGTGTTCGATAAAATTCTTAGCCTAGTTTTAGTAATAATTTTATAATTAACTTTAGAAGTAATTAAACAAACACTCTTTTATTTGGAGATTGCATTAAAAATTATTAAGATTTCACACACTTTGGCACCTTAACACATAACTACTCCTTGTGAGATTTGATCTCAACCTTTGTTGGGTTTATTATTGATAATGGCCATGCCACCTTCAATTAAAGTGTAACTACTCGATCGGCTATTTTGAGCTCCAGCATGTTGTTCTATGGTTTGAGACCTTGAGTAGCTTCACTTTACGTAATATGACTTGCACGTGTAGTTGGTTTTGCTTTTCGAGAAGTTCGGAGTTGATTTGAAAGAATTGTTCTCAATTCGAAAGCTTTAAGTTGTAAGAGTTGACCAAGGTATGGAATTTTGAGTTAGCGATCTCAGAATCGGGGTTTGGAGGTTTCTATAGGATCGCAAGGTGATTTCGGACTTAGGCATATGTTCGGGTTTAGTATCGGATGGTCAGGGAGCGTTTCAATGCTTATTATTGAAAGTTACATTTTTGAAGGTTTTTGAATTAGTTAAGTTTGACTTACAATGGACTTTGGTGTTGTCTCCACTCCGGCCGGTGTTTTGCGACATTGGATAGGTTTATTTTATTGATTGGAACTTCTGTGGGAAGTTTGAATATGATCCGAAATGTTTAAGTGTGATTCGGATGCGTTCGACAAAGTTTGAATATTTGTAAGTTAAAAGAAGAATTTTGATCGACGATTCGTAATTTTGATGTTATACGTGGCGTTTCGAGCCTTTAGATAAGTTTGGATAAGGTATTTGGACTGGTTGGTACAATTGGACAGGGGTCTGGGGGACCTCGGGGGTGTTTCGACATAATTTTGGACCAGCTCCCTTTGTTTTGTTACTACTGGTGCTGGTTCTGGTGTTGTCCTTCCCGAACGCGGTGGAGAGCATGCATTCGTGAAGAAGAATTTTAAGCAGGAGGTATATCTTGCTTCGCGTTCGCGATGGAGGAGACGCGTTCGCGAAGGCTGGTGGCTGAGGTGCTTCGTGTTCACGACTGGCGGACCGCGTTCGCGGAAGAGAGCTGGGTCTGGAAATTTGGCCTTCGCGAGAGTTCGCATTGGTCTGGCTTGGCAAAGCATCGCGTTCGTGAGCCTTTACTTGCATTCGCGAAGAAGACTTTGGGCGGCTATAGATTTTGCCTTTGCGATCGCGAGTGTACTTCCGCGATCGCAAAGAAGGATGCATGGGCACTGTATAAGAATACAAATCGGGACTTGGCTCATTTTTATCTCATTTCTCACATTGGAGCCAATTTTGGGGCAATTTTGAGGAGCCATATTCATCATCTATCATAAAATAAGTGATTCTCACTTATTGTGAGTTAAATACATTGATTATATATGAATTTTTACAATGAATTCGGTAGAATTTGTGGAATTTCGAAGGAAACCTAGAAGTGTATTTTTGGATTTGACCTCAAAATTAGACATGGAATTGGGAATAAAATTTTGTATTTGAGTTTGTGGTACAATGAGTAATATTATCTTCGAGAATTTTCATAATTCGGTTACGTAGGCTCGGGGTTGACTTTGTTGACCTTTCGTGTAGAGTTGGAGATTATTTATAATTGATTAAATGACGAGTCTTTGAGTAATTTTGATTGGTTTACACATTGTTTGACTAGTTTCGGATCGTTTGGCATTTGTTGAGGTGTTCGAGAGGCGTTGGAGTCAATTATCGGATTTCGGAGCGAGGTAAGTCTCCTATCTAACCATGTGAGGGATAATTTACCCCGTAGGTATTATATTTGTTATAGGCTACATGTTGTGGGACGTATGAGGTGACGAGTGTCTGTGCATATGCTAGAATTTCTGATTAGGTACAGGTAGATTTAGATTCACGTCATGCTTTAATCGTATTATTTGAGCTATTGTTGCCTGTTTAAATGCCTTAATTTGCATTTTAGCTTGAGACTAGACTTGTATTGAGTATTGAACCTTGTTATTTTAGAGACTTGACGAGCTACTTGGTTAGCTGTGGAACTTATAATTTCGTTTACAAATTTATCTCGCGTTGTACGTATTTGTCCGAGCATTTTTTGAACTTCATAACTCACACATATATTCGTGAGTGGGGCCAGTGACCCGTCAAAGTTTTTACTATTCCTATGGGATCGGGCTGACCACCTCAGTAGCATTATTATGGATCGAGTCGTACGACCTCGGCAATATATCTGAGATGCATCTATGGTTCGGGCGGTTCGACCTAGGCAGTGTACACGATTGTTATGGAATCAGGCCGTACGCCACGATAGAAAATCGTTCCATTACTCTTATGGGATCGGGCCGCTCGCCTCGGTTGAATCGTGCGTAATATTTGATAAGGAGTCAGTGTACCTATGAGTTTTCGTGACTTGAGATGTGACCTTTTATCTGGTGTTGACCGTTATTCCATTCGAAGTAGTATCTGGTTGTTGAGGACTTCGTATTTCTTCTTCTGTTGAGGATCGTGTTATTTACATATATTTGTTCTCACTGTTTTACTTGCCATGTTTCATACCTCTCTACTTTGGTTATACTTGATTTATTGGACCATTAGTAAGTGTCGATGTCGACCCGTCGTCACTACTTCTTTGAGGTTAGGCTAGATACTTACTGGGTGCGTATTGATTTACGTACTCATACTACACTTCTGTACTGATTGTTTAGGTGCTGAGACAGGTACATTTGGTGGTCATCTTGGCAATAGGCGCAGCTGCTGAGGAGACTTTGTGGTGAGCTGCATTCCATGTTATGATCCGCAGCACACGGAGTCCCCATCTTATTCATTTATTTTATCATGTCAATTTTATATTCCGGATAGATGTTGTAGTAATATTGTACTTCTTAGTATATGCTCATTCACTTGTGACAACGGGTTTTAGAATATTTCTAGTAGATTATTATGGTTGTAAGTGATATTATCATCATTTCGCTGCATGCTTCATTGATACTTTATGTCTCCATGGTTTTCTACACTAAATTTCATTTACTTAATGAAACTCATGATTTCAAAATCATAAAAATGTATAATTAAGTTGATGGTCCTCTATTGGCTTGCCTAACAACGACGTTGGGCGTCATCACGTCCTATGGTAAAAATTGGGTCGTGACATAGAGGCGTAGGACATGACGTCACTAATTTTTGACGTTATCGGGGATCGAACCGGGTTGCATGTCACAAAGGGCCATTCCTCCCAATTACCCCATCCAAACCCATATCCGCAACAAAAACACAAGTGTATTTGCATCCTATTTTTTATGTAGTAATACGATTTGATTGGGCACAAAGTTTAAAATATTAATTTAATTTTTGTATTGTATTTATATTTGTGGAAGAAATAATAAAATTATTAAAAAGTTAATTTGATAGAGAAAATATACTATTAAGTTTTAATTAAAAAATAAAGAAACTAAATTCTTGAAATTTGTAAACGTTACAGATTAGTAGAGTATGTCAGACTTATGGAAAGTTGAAGGAGTACATATGACACATGAAATATTAGTAATGTGAATTTCTCTTGCAGAAGATGAGAAATTTGTTCAAACTTTGATTTGATTGTCTCATCAATGTATTCTAGTGTTCATCCTAACATAATGACTATATGTACCAATTTGTGGTGAGACTTTGTGATCCTACCCTAATTTTACAGCCACTTAAATTATTAAATTATGTTCAATACTTGCAAAGGCTTTCTGGATAATTCAATACCCCTTCTTGTGCTCCTACAACCACAAGAATTTCTATAGCTATTGCTCATTTTCATTTACCACTGACATTTTAGTACCTAATAAATTATTAGGTTTCGTTCTCCCGAAAAGTGAAAACTCGGAAAATTCAAGTTATGAAGAAGTTGTCCCCCTCATAAAGGAATTCAGATACCACCAAGGGATGGTTGAATGGATGAGATTTTTCTATTATTATTCGCATATCTGAGGTTCGAGCCTAGAGAACGGGAAAATATTTAGTAGAGAGCTTTCTCTTTAAATGAGCCCCCCCTAAGCACGTGCAAATATGAACTAGTCAGGACAGTAAGTACCGGATAACGGATAGTTAAAGAAAGTGAATTGCTTTGACTTTACTTTAATTAACCCAGGGGTTGTCTATCAGGAATATCCCTCGAAATAAGCTGCTGATAGTTTATTTATTTAGTAGATCAGATGAATAGGGGCTTGTCTTTGACTTGATTAATTTTCCATGAGAATATTTCTAACCTAAGCTACTTACCCCATTCTTTTGGAAATCATCAAACTCAAACCTGAAGTTTCTCTAATTACTTGACCGTTACTTAATAAAAAGTTGCATTAAGTTAAGCAAGAAAAGATTAAAAAACATAAAATAAATAGGAAGCTTGTCAATTCTTTTACCCATCAAAATTAAGTAGATAGGTGGAACCATTAATTTTGTAATGGACCAAATCAAGAAACCAGATCTTTAGAATTTGTCAAAATAAACTTTATGTCCACAGACCACAGGTAATTATGGGAGAGGCCCAGTGTCAGGAAAGGAAAGAAACAGTTTGATGGGAATAATAAATTTCACTGCAAAATATAAGCAAAATATTAGTTAAAGGGATAAAAAGAATTGTTTTTGAGAAAATTGTGATAATCCAACCAATTATTGTTTTCTAGAGAAACCACTACTGTTGCTGCCAGAGGCGGAGTCAGAATTTTAAGCTTATGGGTTTAGAATTCTAATCTTTTTAAGCTACTGAATTCTAAATTAATAACTTATACTCCCTCCATTCCAATTTATGTGAACCTGTTTGACTGGATACGGAGTTTAAGAAAAAATGAAGACTTTTGGAATTTGTGGTCCTAAACAAGTTAAAAAGGGGCCCAAAGTATTTGTGTGGTTATAAAAGCTTTTCATTAAGGGTAGAATTGTAAGTTTAAGCTAAATTTCTTCCAAATTTAGAAAGGGGTCATTCTTTTTGGAACGGACCAAAAAGGAAATAGGTTCACATAAACTGGAACGGAGGGAGTATATAATTATGAATTTTTTAAGATAAATACAGGTTCGAACCAAAGTTACTGGGTTCGGCTGAACCCACTCGGGACTCTCGATCTAGCTCCGCCCCTGGTTGCTGCCACGAGAAATCTTGATTTTATGTGACGAGTTCAAGTTTAAAAGTTAGTTGGACAATTCCCTACTTTGTTGACAATGCAATTATGGGGAAAAATATATTTTAAAACTTTCCTGTATTTGACAATCAATATTTTCCTAAACAAAAGTTGTCAAATACAATAGAACTAACGGAATATTTCATTTAATTATGAGTATCTTTTCTCTTTAGCAAGCAATACCATTTTTCTTACGAAGTAGCCGGCGTGAGGATGCATATGGTTAATAAAAACAACAACTTATTCCTAACAACGTATTTTAGACCATGTTCTGCCAAAGCTAGAGAATTTAATATATCATAAACAAAATATTTAGAGTAATAAGACGAATAGCACACAATAGTAATAACTATATATATCTAAGGGTATTGTTAAGGAGTTTGATAGATTAGGGATTCTTCCACCTTTTTATATTCAAGTTTATTCTTTCTACAAGATACGAAACGAGCAGTCGAATAAGGTTGTTTCTATTGTATTTTAGATGGAATCATCTATTTTTAGATTAATTGACTTATCCATGCATTCCGACTAAAATCTTACGAACATGCACTTTCCTTATGCGTCTGACCACTTCGTTAATGTAATAGGCTTTATTTCTTTCGAGCTTTTATCTTCTGTCTTTACATGAGCTAATTATGCGTGGCGCTGCAGAAGAAGAAGGCGTCACTTCGCTTATTGTACTAATATCGGCCATACAATAATGACATATGTGGATCTCATTCATATTTCAATTTTTCTGAACACAGTTAAAGCAGTCATTTAGGGAACAAGTCTTTTTAATTATTGTATTAGCATAGTTATGAAAATAAAATAAAAAATCTTGATGGAAAACGTTTTATTTCTTCTTATGCAAATTCAAAGCGAATCAATAAATTTTGAATATAAAATGTCCAAATAAAATAAAATAAAAACTAGTCCATATTGAAGAGTATTGCGAGGAGTGCGGTAGGAATACATCTTTTTAACCTTAATTAGAAATATCAGAAGTGCATCTAATACATTCGACGTATAAAATGTGGTAAAATCAATTTTGAATCCGAGTATATAATCAAAGATGGAGGCAGGCAGCAACCAAAAAGTGCGGAAGAACCCCACATTGGCCCATCGGCTCCTGTCGACATCCAGCATGTGTTCACGTTGTTACATTTAAGAAAGACAGATTTTAAATTAAATAAAATAGCACTACTTTACTTGGTATATTGGAAATTTGGTACATCTCTAAGTACTAGTACTAAATAAATTATACAAGGTCAAAAGGTAGACATTATTTAGCCTTTGGCACACAATGCAACACCGACGTCCTCCCCGATGTGCGACTCATGCCTTAAATTAATTTTTCTTCTCTCTTCTTAGTCGTCTCTTTTGAGCTTTTCCACTATTTATTGAGTATTTATTTTTATGTATTGGTGTTAATTACATAATAGGGAGAGAATACTTTGAATATTTTAGTTTGAGGAACATACTTTAATTTGTGCATTATAGCATAAATTTACAGTTTTATAAGCTAGAAACAATAAACTTTATTCTAATGACTCCACAATAACTTTGCTATATATAAGTGGAATAACAATCGTTAGCTAACGTAGTTCTCGTAATACTTATAGATTATTATCCGAACATATATTATAAATATGATATTTCAGATAGGTAAAAAGTTTATCATTCTCTACTGTCGAAGAGATCCTGTATATTTTAATATATGCGAAAGCGTAAAATAGCGATAATTTTAATCAAGTCGTGTGATGGTTATTCGGCAAAAAGTTCATATATAACATTAAATTTATGAATTTTCAACCTTTTTCAAATATTGTAAGTGCCATTATACTTTGTCTAATTCCATTTCACGTAGTTCAGAAATATGCTGCAACTTAGCTAAACTGCTTCCCTATTTCGTCATTTATCTTTCCCTTTTTGTAAATTTCCTCATCTTCCTATTATTATATAGTAATTCAATTTTATTTTTCCAAAATCTTGAAAAAGTCCATTAAGAGCCCCTATCTCCTTGTTTCTTTATCTCTCTCTCTTCTGAATTTCCATGTGTTGACTTTCTCATATTTAATCAACTTGCATGGACCCTTCTTAATTACTTCTTCTCTTCACACATATATATACATCTCTTTTTCCAAAACTCCATTGCAAACATTTTTTCCATCTTCATCCCTTCACTACACATTTTTGTCCATTAATCCTCCTAAACAATACATTCGAATCACTCCAAAAGATAAAATGGAAGAAGTTGAAATTCCTTCCTATTTTCTTTGTCCAATCTCAATGGAAGTAATGAGGGATCCAGTTACAGTCTCAAGTGGAATTACCTATGATAGAGAAAACATAGAAAAATGGCTATTTTCATGCAAACACACAACTTGTCCTGTCACAAAACAAGAACTACAAATCACAGATCTCACTCCAAATCACAATCTCCGCCGTCTGATCCAATCTTGGTGCATATTAAATTCTTCTCATGGCATCCAACGGATCCCAACTCCAAAACCTCAAGTTCACAAAAACCATGTTGTCAAAATCCTAAATGAAGCCAAAAAATGTCCCGAAATGCAACTTAAATGCCTTAGGAGACTTAGATCAATTGCACATGCAAATGAGAGTAACAAAAAGTGTTTGGAGTCAGCTGGGGTTGTTGATTTTTTAGCATCAATGATTAATAAAAGAGAAGTGGCTTTAGTTGAAGATTCAGAATTCACAAAGGCAAGTGATGAAGCTTTAAATATTCTTTTTCATCTTTATCCTTCAGATCAAGAGTTGAAAAAGTTCATTTCCCAAGATGAGCAATTCTTGGATTCTTTACTTCATTTCTTGAAATGTGGGA